ATGATTGCTTTGATTTTTGCAAATTAAGAAATATCAACGGCGAAGCTGCAAGCCAATGGTTCCTGCCAAGAAGGCAAAACATCACAATGAAAGCTAGGCTTGCCTCGTGGCCCGAAGACAGTGCGATATTGGTGCAGCACCTGACCTGAGTCGAAAAAACACTCGCACAGCGAGGAATCAAGCCACCAGGAAGGCGTTGAGCAGACCAAGAACTTGTTGCAGCATGCGATAGTCCCTTGCTCTATCCAGAGGCTGCACGCCCCGCGTTGTGAGACTGCCAGAAACGCTGAGAGCAGGAAAAGTCTAGGGCTTTTACTTTTTTTGTGGGTCTAGACTTAGGGCAGCAACAAGTGCCGAGGAGCCGGCTTCTTTAGCTCAGCGGTTCAGAAGAGGCTACTGCTCAAAATCTCGCAAGAAAACGTGGAGCTCCCACAAGCACGCCTAACACTGCCAATGATTTTACCCGTTTTCCGAAAAATCATGCAAGGATTGCCATGACTAGGTACTCCATTCTTGCATCATCCGGCTCCAAGTCGGCACACGACCGTTTCAGCCCTCCGACTCGGAGCTCGTTGAGGACGAGCTCGCGAACGACATCTCTTCGTCCGCTGGAAAAGCATCTTGAATCTCTCTGACTTCGCGGCCAACTATGGCTTGCACACCACACGTGAAACTCGCAGCAAGCTTTGTGTAGCACAAACATCGCGACAAGCTGGGAGCCTTGGGCTCCTGCAACTCGGAGATAAGAAGTGGCATATTGGTGGCAACAGCTTGAAGCTTGCTCTGCGTTGAGATGGCCAAACGGTTCCGGATCGCAGACCGGTCTCTGTTCGCAAGTGCCCAGTAGCGCTCGGCTTGCCCCTGGCTCGTGCAGCAGCACCACAGCTTCGAAGCCAAATGGGCGAGGGGCTTGCTGGGCTGCTCAGACTTCCAGAAGGTCAAAACCTGGGCGGCGAGCTTCGGTATTTGACATGTTCCAGTCGAGTTATACATCCTCCTAAGTCCTAGCCCCACTGGCAAACGAAGCCTGAGTTCGCAAATGATTTTTTTCAATGGCATGTAAAATCATTCTGGCATGGCCACGGTGCCTGCTGCAAGGTCGCATTCGTCTCAGGATAGTTCAAGTTCCGGAAGGGGCCCTTCTGCTCGCGGTAGTCGTCGAAGTCTGATTGACACTGTTTCACGACGTCTGCGTCTTGAAAATACATGGACGGCAGAAGTCTGCGAGCTGTGACGAAGGAGTAGTGGAAGTGGCGCGGCTCCTCCAGCTCCCCTAACTGACGTGCATCGAAAACAGAAGCAGCCACAACCAAGTCAGAACAGAATTGCGACGACCGTTGGTCCAGGATCTCCATGACTTTCGCCTTGCGGCAGCGCAAGGTGTCGGAAGTCTCGCCCGTGTCCCTGAAGTCGCAAGACTCGAGCGCCGCAAGAAGCTTCTCGCGCAGCAAAACCCAAATCCCATACGCTTCGGGAAGTCGAGCCGATGCGAAATGCCTGCTGGCCGTTGTGACGGCCCATAGCATTGGCACGGCACGCCGCACGCGAGCGTCCAATGCCCGCTTCTCCAGCGACGCCAGCGCATTCTTGAGTTTCTGCTTCTGCTTCGGGTTGTGGCCAAGCTTGTCTGGATCCTCGCGACGCAAAAGCTCTGCAGCTTTGTGACGGCACTGCAAAAACTTCACACACATCGTCGTCCAGCTGTTGTGTCGGGTCTGGCGTCGGTGCTGCAAGACAATGCCACGAACCTGCGCAGCGAAATGCTGTCACATGTAGCATGTGTGTTCTCGGCACTAGCTAGCCAGTACGAGGACCTAACAGACGAAGTTCTCATTTCGCCCCTGGCCTTCAGCTTGCCAAAGAACTTCTTGCTCCGACGCACGCCTTTGATGGCGGTGTTCACCGTCTTGGTGCACTTGCGCAGCCAAGGCATGGCCTCGCGGAGGTCACGCAGGAGCAGCTGGCATCCATGCTCCATGCACCGAAGCTGAAGCATCTTGCTTGCCCTCTCAGAACAAAGCATCGCGAGGGCAGCCTGGACTGCAATATGATTTTTGGAGCCGGCCGGAAAAATCATCTGAGATTCGGTGTCAACCACAACAACAACTATGAAATCGCGATGATTTTATTTGGCCCCGTGAAAAATCATTTCGAATCAGCTGCCTGGATATTGGGCGCGTTGTCCGCGCAGATGCCTGCCACTGACTCGTACTCTGTCCAGCGTCGCAAAACCACCGCCAAGTTTGCTGCCGTGGACTCAATCTCAACAGTGGACACGTGCTCCAAGTGCAAACACCTGGGGACAAAGTAGCAAGCACCTAGCCCTGCAAGATTCGAGGACGTATGGGCCCCAAATTTGACAACTTATCACCTCCCGGATGCCGCCATTGCACCGATGTTTAGAAAGCCACAGCCAGCAATCGTGGCGCCATCTGTAACAAGACACCAAGGCCCGTCTGTGCACAACTGCTTGTGCAATGCCTCGGCCACCGTGTCAGCAGAGGCATCAACGACTTCACGAACATGGGTGCGAGTTGGAGGTTTGTATTCGGGGCTCAACTTCGTGAAGAAAAGCTTCATCACTTCGCCCTCGACAGAGTTGAAGGACTGGTGGCTGTGCACAACTGCCAAGGAATGCAATCTTTGCAGCTCCTTGAGATCCGCAGGCTCTGCAGCGCATACCTGTCTGCCACCCAACATCTGCTGTGCCTCAGCGGACTGCAGCAGCTCGCGCCACAACTGGGCAGCATGCACTCCCTGGTCCGCGAGGATGCGTAGATCCTCAGGCGAAATCGGGTCCGCATTGGAGCACGCACTGGTCCGCGAACCTTTTGCACGATATAGCTGCAAAGCCTGCTGCTTGGACTCGACGAAGTCCAAGCCCTGTTTGGTCAAGTAGGTGGCTACTTTCTCGGCCACCGGCTGGCTATAGTGGATTACATGTTCCAGCGGCCTGGAAAGTCCTGCACCTTCTGACGACCAGCGGCATCGCAAGCAAAAGAACTTGTTCTTTCCACTAGTTTTGTGCGTTGTGCGCACCACCCGCTTCTTGAGGATGCAAAGCTGTGCATCAGTGGCAGAACGCAACTGCATAGAAGCCAGGTTGTAGTTATCTGCCTCATGACCCACAGCCCGCAATTGGACTTGTATGTCTTCTGGGATTTCCTTCGGCTGCGCCTCATCCGGCTCCGCCTCCTGATTGGCAGAGCCAGTGCTCTTTCTCTGCTTGCGTGTGCGTGCCATTTCCACTGCCCGTGTAAACCGTAAACCCCCTCCAGAGCCAAGAAATCGCAAGGAAGAAACGCCTAGTGAGATCAGATCTGACCATCGGACTCTGCGCACATGCCAGTGATCCGCTCTGTGCAGAACATCGACATGATTTTTTGGGGGTCAAGCAAAAATCATTCGCAAACAGTCGCGTCGACAGCCAACAACCTACAACAACAACAACAACAACAAGATTCAAAGCATGCCCAATGATCCCTTCTAAAGTCGTCCGTTCCGAAAACTGCGCCCTCTAAACCCTGTCTTCGTAAGCAACGGAACACTTCACAACTTCTCTGGACTCAGTGCCAGACCTCTTTCCACCAGCTCGTCGTCGTTCGTCACGACGAGGAAGTAGGGCAATATGACAGGGTTTATCGGTTAGGTGAGATTTTACAGGCCACTAGACTGGGACTTATATTAGCAAAATGCGCCGAAACTACTTATTGCGCACACCCCAGATCAAGCGCTAATTGATTATTTTGGGACGAGGAATAATCATTGGTGAATCTAGCTTTTACATGATTTACGGACCTTGTAGGTTTGGTTCTTATAGGAGA